CTTGGAGTGGCGGCTTTTGTATTGTAAGAGAAGAGCCGCCACTTCAAGTGGCGGCTTTCCTTAACCACGGTTAACCCGACATTATTTTGGGAATCATTTTTAACACAACAGTATTTTGGGAATTATTTATTTAATTAGAATTATTTCGGGAAAAAACTCTAAACATGACACAGAGAAGTTTGCAGTGTTCAAGGTATGGCTACTAGAAATATGACACTTGCGAATTTTTACTCCGTTGCACCATAGTGTAAGCGTCCCCATGCAACTATGCAGGACTACTTGACTACTTCTTAAATGCAATGAACAAGTATTTAGGGTCCCTTTGAAGCATGAAAAATACTAGTAAAGGAAGATTTGAAAGAAATAAAATTATCAATTTTGAGGAAAATAAAAAAAGCTCAAACTTAAAACTATTTTTTTTTATATTTGTGCGAATTCAAATTATTTATTTATTCTTACACTATGAAGAAAAAGAAAACTGAATGTATGTAAACAAACTTAGAGTTAAAAATATTCATTTTGCATTATATCTTTAAGAAGTGTATACTACAATTATCTCGCATAACTCTTCAAAAACTGATAATCATAGTTCCTTTGTGCACACCAGATGAATAGTTCAATTTCAAAAAACAAACGATTTCAATAGTTTTTATATAAGAACAAAACCATACTTCCTACAGTCATAAAAAAATCAAATGCCCAAACAGAGCAAACAAATAATATAGATAGAATAAGATGCTCCTGTGATGTTATTTCTTAATGGGCTATATATCCTTCTCCAAAGATAAATAGTTGTGAGGCTCAAATTAGTGAACTTGAAAGTGGTTCAAAGACATCCAAAGACCCAAAACATTAATCTAACTTATACAAAACTAATTCCAGCAAACCAAATAAGTAAGAAGACAAGAAATTTGGAAGCTTTCTCAGAATATTAGGGCAACAAAAGAAACAATTAACTACTGCAACAGCAATTCAGGGAGGCCGTGAACAAGCAGTGTGTATTCACCAGAATCTCGAGTCCATCATGAACTTCAATTTCAGGATCATATTTCGGGGATACGTATCCAATCAGTAGATTAAAGAGAGAGATTCCAACACCGTAGGATAGGATTTGGAAACCACAAGCGTATTAAACCCGTAATACATACATTGATGCAATGAGGCATCCCCTACTGTTCCAAGCCATCTCATAGACGTATAAGGAACATATCTATCCAGGTAGTGACTGAACATTTTAGAAACCTAGCTTTTCCATTTCACCAATGGGGCCACTGTGCTACCACCACCATCATCATCCTTAACTCCTTCCATAATACTAAAAACCTAGCACCTTTTCTCTGCAACACAATTTATGACTGATGATCTGGCCATTAAAAACTGGTATTCTATCATGCCGGCCATAAATTGAAAGTACTCATAACCACAAACAGATTAAAAACAAGAATTATAATAATAATAATTAATTCAAAGCCCTAATAAGAACCCCAGAACAGAGCGGGGAAAGTAGTAATTTATTCCTGCATTCAAAACCCAAAATTCGATATCAACTAGAAATTCATGAATAATGCTAACATACAGTAATAAACCATACATGACTTTACGGAGACTGGAGAGCAGGCATTGAATTTGAGCCAAGAGTTGATGCTCGCACAGATTCATCATTCATAAAAGTATGTGGATGGAGTATTTTTAACGACGTTGGAATGTCCGAGTTAAGTCACGTTGTGTGTTCAAAAGTTCTGAGTGAATTTCCCACACCGGATACGTATATGAGAGGGAGGGGAATGATTTATTATAAAATGGAAAGGCAGCTTCGAGGCATACTCATCTTTGCGCTTGGGGCAATGACGCAGCTAGTGAGGTAATAACCGAGGCGTGTCTATTGCTGGTTGAAAACTATTTCCAAACCCCCTCTTTGGCTTAGGTTCATCCTAAGCCTTAGAGAATTTTTGGAAGGGTTTCTTTCACTAGAAACCCTACAAAATTTAGTTCTAAAACTTCGATATTGTTAAACACTTACGTAAGTATTGTTTTTAACTTTTAATCATCTGATTAAACACTTGCGTAAATATTTCTTTTTAACGGTTAAAATTTAAAAAATGTTACCGTAAAAGTTTTAACAGTAAAAATTTAAAAAATTTTAGAATGAGAAGAATTTAACAGTATTTTTTGAAAAATTTAATTTATAATTCATAAATTAATAAAATATAGTCAAAGTAAAATATGTGAATAATGTAAAAAGTTCAATGTTGCAATTAAAAGAATCGAGGTAGTATTGTTTTTAGCTTTTAATGAATGTTTTGATTGATGTAATGTTTTGGGAAGAGACTAAGAGAGGCATATATATACTCCAATTCAAAATTAATCATGCTTTTGATCAAAATTCTTTCTTTTTTGTCTCCTCACCTCATGCTTTTCTCACAAATGAAATCGAGATGTAGTCATGTAGACCTTCTATTCCTTCAGTACAAATAACCCTTAGTTTTGGGGCAGAGTAACAATTTCATATTGAAAAATTTATAAAAATGGGAGTAAAAAATGTAGTTATCCTGAAATCATCATAATTTGGCATTTTGAAAGTAGTAGTACTAGTGTCATAATTGACAACATTTTTAAAAAATGAAAGTAATTGCTCTTATTTTGAAAAAATACACTATTTTAAAATTTCATATTGTATGTATGACTACAATAAATTGAAATGATTACGCATGTGTATGTATGACTACTGTTGGAGGTATTGGTCCTACCAAGGCCTCCCTTCCACTTTATTTGTTGAGGCTTGCACACTCTATTTTACTCTCTCTTGGATATCTTTACTGTGGTATATATCCTGATCAAATATATACCTATTTTGAGTGGTTGACTTACCCACGTGGCTGGCCCCTTTGTGTTCTGTCCGCTGCATCCATCTTTGTCTTGGCCTATACATGTGACACTCCTTTGTCTAAGTTGCATGTGAGTGTTTTTTGTCAAACCTCACCCGTGACACACTTTGGCAGCCTATTTGTATCCTCTGCTTCTTCCCTTGTTGAGCAGCCTGCGCAGAAAGCATTCCAGAGAGAGCAGTGCTCCCTTCTTCTTCCTTTCCTTTGTGTGAGAGTGTAGAGAGGTCCTTTGTGGAGAGTAGAGAGTTGTGTGCTATAGCCTCCTCTTAGTGTGGTGTGTGAGAGTGTGTGTTGAAAGACCTGAGCCGGAGACGGAAAAGATCCTTACAGTGGTATCAGAGACGGAACCGCCGTCCGCCGCCGCCGCCGATTGGAGCTCGCCGAAGGGCCCTGGAGTTGCTGGTCGATCGCACGAGCTCGTTGACTTCCAACCTGGTCTCTGTTCTCTGAAATCGAGCTCGCAGGGAGTTCAAACCACCATAGCCAGATTCCACAAGCTCGCCGTCGCCTGGGAGATCCGTCGCCGTCGCCTGGAATCCGTCCTTCTGGAAACCCGCCGTTCGCCCGGAGCTGGTTCGTCGGAGGTGCTCCGTGGCTGGAACTGTCGCACATTTGTCTGCGGTTGTTGTTCGCAGACTACTGGTGCAGACGCAGGTACCTGGACGAAGGGAAGAGCACTGTTGAGTCGCGCAGGGGAAAGGACGAAGAGTACTTCGTTAGAGTTGGACCCGTTTTGCTGTGGCTGGACGCGTTGACCAGTGGACTCCTGAAGCTGGGCTGTTAGTTTTAGGCTGCTGGGCTTCGGACTTTCTGGGAGCTGGAGCTGCTGACTTGCTGTTTTGGACTACTGGGCTGGAGTAGGAGCTACTGCTGGGCCGCTGGTTTGGTGTTGGACTGATGGAGCTGGAACCAGTCAACTGCCGGTCAACCGCCAGCCAACCGCCGGTCAACGCCGGTCAACGGTGGTCAACGCCGGTCAACGGCAGTCAACCCCTCCAGAAAAATCCCAATTTTTTTAAATTGGGTAGGTAAGGTCGAAACGCTCTCCTAGGGTTTCGCGAAGGTAAGTTTTCTGTAAACTTCCCATTTGTTACATTCCGGTTTTAATTTAATTTAATTTTATTCCCCCTTCCCGCGGGCCGCCGGTTGATTTAATCCCGGCCGCCAACCCCCCAGGTACGTACTAAACTTTCTCCTTTGTGGTAGACTGTTTTAGTTAATTAATTAAATTGCTTTGTGTTATTTAAATTAATTGTTATGCGTAGGGGTGGTTTATTGGGTGGTAGGGGTAGAATTAATTAAATTTAATTTTCTGCCCGGAATTGTTTAAATTGCCAAAATGTCCATTTTTTGCTATGTGTTGCATGCTGCCCGGGGTTATTAAAGTGAATACTTTATAACCCGAGTTGGATTATTTTTCTGTCAATTCAGTCTGTTTAGCTTTGTGTTCCTTTTGTGGTTGATACCATGGCTGCGAATCAGTATGGTATGCTCCCATTTAATGGAAAAACAGATTTTGATATTTGGAAACAGAAAATAAAATGTGTTTTAATACAGCAAAAAGTTTTCAGAGCTGTCACTAGTATTTCCCTTGAATCAGAAGATAAGGCTAAGCAAATTGAAATGAACGAAACTGCTTGTTCTACTATTTACTTGAATCTGTCTGATTCTGTGCTTAGGAAAGTGGGTATTCTTGAGTCCGCTAAGGAGTTGTGGGAGAAATTGGATAGTCTCTATACTGATACCTCTTTGCCCGGGAAGTTGTTCTTACTAGAGAAATTCTTTAGGTTTAGGCTTGACCTGACTAAGGATATAGATGAGAACCTGGATGTGTTTAATAAACTGATACAGAATATCAAACAGGCAGGTGATAAACACATAGATGATTATACTCCCATAGTGTTACTTAATGCCATTCCCGACTCTTATAATGATGTTAAGTCCGCTATTAAGTATGGTAGGGATGAGATTTCGTTAGACATTGTTGTGAATGGATTAAGGAGTAAGGAATTAGACCTGAAGCATGCTAGGGGTAGTGCTAGTCAGTCCAGGGACTCCGGTGAGGCTATGTTTGTTAGAGGTAGATCTAAGGGTAGGTCTAAGAATCCTAAGCAAAATAGTCAGGGTAAGAACACTAGTCAGCCTGGGAGGAAGAGGAGCAAATCTAGGAAGAGAGTGTGTTACAATTGTGGTAACACTGGCCATTTCATTAAGGATTGCCCCCACCCTAAGAAGACCGAGCATGCTAGTGTAGCTGTTGATAAATGTGACCTTGGTGATATCTTGATGGTTTGTGACCATGTTAATTCTGTGAGAAATTCCCTGTCTGAGCATGAATGGTTGATTGACTCTGGTTGTACCTATCACATGTCCCCCTTTAGAGATTTGTTTTCTACTTATGAATTATGTGATAGTGGCTACGTTTCCTTAGTTGATAATAAGAGATGCAATGTGCTTGGTGTTGGTGATATATGTCTGAAATTTTCTTGTGGCTCTGTGTTTACCATTAAGAATGTGAGGCATGTCCCTGATTTGTGTCATAACTTGTTATCTGTTGCTGCGTTGGAGAGTAGTGGGTTACAGGGAAAATGGGGGAATGGTTGTATGAAAATCCTGAAAAACTCGCTTGTTTTGTTTAAAGCTGAGAAGGTGAATAACCTTTATGTGTGTCATGCTAAACCTTTTGCCGAATCTGTGAATGTTGTATGTTCTGATAAGACCTCTTTGTGGCATAATATGTGACACCGCACCCGAATGTCCTTGGAAATTTGATTTGAATATTCATAGCTTATGTATTGGATTTCCGATTCCCAAACATTTTGTAAAACGATCAATGTTCTACGTAGTGCATGGTTGAATATCGTATTGTTCAAACTCGTACATTAGTGTCGGGTTTCGCAAATACTTACTCGGGACTTATTAATAAATAAGAAAGCCGAACATTACCTAAATAGTGAAAGAATGATTAAAGGAGAATACAAATGTCTATAACCCCATCTTTGGCATTATTGAGCTAAATAATGGGAGTAGGATTTTCCTTCTAAAATATCCATCAAGTAAATTATTGGGATGAGCCTACACATATTGGAGATCAATAATGTGATTTAGGAAGTTGACTTGTTCTAAATAAATTAGGATGAGTACAAAAAGACATCTTTGACAAAGATAAAACAATAGGACCCATCTTCCCATTTTTGGAAGTATTGGTAGATATTTTGGACCCCAAATTTAATGGGATCAATTGGGAACCACTCCACATGATATTAGTACCTGCAAAACAAATAAAAATGGGTTAGAAGACCTACCTTGGCCGGCCATAATGGAGGGGAGCTGCACATGACTTGATAGGAATCAAAGCTTGGGCCACCATCCTTATTTTTGCACAAATTGGTGTGCTGTTTGTCTCCTCTCATTATAGAAGCTATACTCGACCAAACAACGTGAATAATATGTCCTTGGATAGACTTTGAAGTCTATTATCTCAATTGAGTGGTCTTTGTTCGAGGAGAGAAGGCTTATCTTACAAAAATCGAGCTGGAACGAGCAGAGGTCTGTGAACTCGAGCTGTGAGAGTGCTGAGACTGTTTGGTCGATATCTCGAGTTTTACAAATCCAATTAAGGCGTGTGAGATACCCACAGAAAGCTCTCAAGACGAGGAATCCGTGAAGGTCTGGTTTGCAGGAATCGGAGTTGTGGAAGGCTTCCAAATCGTCCGAGCAAAACACAACCTCGCAGGAGAGGATTTAATCTTCTAAAAGTGAGTTTTAACCCCAAAACTTTACTTTTCATTTTCCAAATGATATGAACGATTGGTGGGACTATCATACACTAATCCAAGTGTATAATATGTCCTTATAAAGTTATTTTATTGATGTAAAGGTTAGATACTAACCTAGAACAAATCTTGGAAAAACTAGGAAACGAGTTGACCGGGAAACACCCGTTCTAGGGGCTGTTTTCGTATCAACGATTAAGGGTTGAACTAGCACTTTGAGGAGGCTGTTTAACACTCATATTTGAGCAAGGAATCAGTTCCAAATCCACCTTGACCAAAGCTTTGACCATTGGACCAAGAAGGGAAAGTTTAAAGCTCAATTGAGGTGAGGATTGACATCTAATTGCTTACAACTTGTAGGTTAAGCATGAGATTACCTAAATGCTTAAATCATTATTTTTCATGAATTATGATGGTTATATATTGATGAAATATTGATATAGTTGCCAAAGAATGAAATTTGAAATGATTTGAGAATGTATGAACATTTTGAGATTTAATGAGTATAAATGAACTATTTTTGTGAAATAGACATTTTGCTCATGTATGAATTATGTGGTTACATAAATGAATATTTGTGTATTGAGATTGAATACTTAAGTTGCTGCTACATAATTATAATTATGTAGAGAATTACAAATAATGAGGATAATGGTGTGATAACAATAATCTTAATAGTATTGAAATACTAGTTAGTGATTATTGGGACTTGTTGATTAAATTGATCCTAGGGATTGGATTGTATGAAAGATACTTGAATGTAGTTCAAGTGTATCTAATAACTTAGTAAGGAACTAAGGTTAAGTTATGGGAAGTCTTTGAGGATGACCCATGGTAGTTTAATGATATGTCAATTCTAGGCATAGGGTTGCTTGAGAGTTGGACCTTAATGCATGGTGATGTGATAGAGCCGAGCTCTAGAATGCATGTAAGGTGTAGACTTGGAGTCTATGTATTGTATAGCTAGAGCCGAGCTCTAGGACTTGCGTGGTGATGTGATAGAGCCGAGCTCTAGAACGCAAGGTAGGGAAATTGACCCGAGGTACATGAATTGTATGGTGATGTGGTAGAGCCGAGCTCTAGAATACAATGTCATGTACTAGGGTTGGACTCTAGGAGTTGTCGTGGCTTATAGCCACGGGGTTGGGAATGGTGACTTCCAAATGAAAACGGGCCCACGGGCCGACTACTTGACTTTTATATAAAGTAAGTATATTTTTAAACGGGGTAACTTAGGGTTACAATCATAATGTACTATCACCCTACTTGAGGGTCTTGTGTTTGAAATACTTGTTGTATATCTATTAGATGCCTGCCACACCAGTACTTTATAGCCGTATAGAGTACTGACCCCTTCGGGGGCGTCCCACCACCATTTCAGGTTGAGGCTAGAGCTTGCTTCCTGTGCTCGTTGATCGAGTGATTCCTTGGAGAGAAGACTTGGTTCGTGCTTCCTCCATTCTGTTTTTAAATAATATTAAACTTGCTCATGGATATTTTACTTTAGAGCCTGCGTGCTCATGTTTGCCCTGTGTGGCCCTTTTGTTTTAAACAATGTTTTCCGCTGCGTATTCAATTGTTTATTATGTATGTTTATGGATGACTTATGTGTGAATGATATTCATGACGCCTTGTATAATATGAATGTGTTGGACTGCGGTTGACTATTCGTATTGTACGGCGGGTTGTTGACGTGTCCGGGGAGGTCCGGGGCGTGACAATTAAGTTGGTATCAGAGCCTTAGTCCATAAACTTCATAATGAAGTCTCAAAATTCTCTTTTTGAAAAGATTTTGAAAACCATGAGCATAGAAGTTTTGTACTTGGAGAGCTTTTGGTACTTGGGTTGCAAGGTCTCTAATTGTTAAGATGGTACCCTTAGCAATTGGTATGGCGGTGACTCGAGCCAAGTGTGTCTTAAGTACCTATCCGTCAATTGACATTTGATACGAGTCTAATGACTCTTTCCAAATTTCTTTCAGAAATGGACCGTGGTGGCAGGATTACTAGGAGAAACCCGACGGGCCGTGTACCAGTGGAGACTGGACAGGGCAGTCGAAGGACCTCTAGGGCATCTAGAGGAGCTGGTCGTGGAGGCCGATCACAGACCGTGAGTGACGGTCATGTTGACACAGAAAGTGAAACCTACTGGTCCTATGAGGACTCGACTTACCAACCGGAGACCGAGCCGGTTGAGACCCCTTACGAAGGGGATGACGATGATATAAGTGATGAAGAAGGGGAGAATGACTCCCTAGTCAGAATTGAGGCGCTGCTCCAGCAATACCAGCGGGAGCGCGAGGAAAGGAGGGAACGCCGAAGGCGCCGAGGAGGGCGAACTTCGGGTGGGGCTTCAAGAGGAAGAAGCCATGGCGACTCTAGGGCCCACATTGAACCACATGGGGGCCGGGGTGATGGGGGTCCGATCATAAGGATCTCCAAATACCTCAAGGAGGCACGAGACTTGGGGTGCAAACCCTTCAATGGAGCGGGTGACATCTCGATCGCCGCGGAATGGATCAAGAGGTTGAACGAAGCAGCCCTTGATATGCAACTCACCCCCGAGTTTAAGCTAAGGGTGGCGGTGAGGTTGCTTGAAGGGATGGCATCCACATGGTGGGACGGAGCCAAGGGAAAGTATGGCAATACCGTGACTTGGGAGGATTTCCGACAGGAGTTCTTTGCCCAATACTATTCAGACTTTGAGGTGAACAATAAGAGGAGAGAGTATACCCTCCTAACCCAAGGTGGCACGATGACGGTGAGGCAACTTGAACACAAATTCAGGGAACTCGCGGAATTCATACCGGAGTACATATGTGATGAAAACCGTATGGTGAATCATTTCTGGGATGCCTTGGACCTTGACATACGCGAGAGGGCAACACAATTGCCTAATATGACGTTTAGTCAAGTGGTCGAACAAGGCCTGAAGGGGGAGAAGGAGTGGGAGGAAAGAAAACGAAGGAACGCCGAGGAGGCGAAAAAGAGAAAGTGGGAGAGTCATGGCTCCCAAGGTTCCAACAAGAAGGGGAACCATGGAGGAGGATCCTTCCGGGCACCGCCGCCACCGTCTAGGGGGAACCAAGGCCCGAGTGGGCAAGGCTCGAGGTCACAAACCTCGGTGATAACTCGTTGCAACAATTGCAAGAAGAATCACTCCGGTAAGTGTCGCGACCCCCCTAGATGTTTCCAATGTGGGGATGCCGGACACTTGAAGGCGCATTGCCCCCAGTTGGGTGGGGCAAGGACATCGGGACCAAGTAGCGGGGCTGCGGGAAGTAGAAACCAAGCCGGGGGTTCCCAAGTAACCAGGGGGCAAGGGGGAGCAAGCGCGAGTAACGCGCCGTCCGTGAATCAAGGAAGGACGCAAGCTAGAGTCTACGCAATGACCGAGGCTGATGCTCGGGCTAATCCCGACTCCGTCGCAGGTAATACACTTATTCGGGTCATTTCTAGGCTTATTTTGATCATATACGTCGTTGGGATTGAGTACGGGCCACCCCGGGGTCAAACTGGGTGAGTTAGGCCGAATCGGGCTGGAAACAGCCACTGCTGGCCAGGCACGCCCGCAGGCACGCCGTGCCTGGCATCGTGCCTGGAAGGCAGTGGCACCCGAAGGAAAGAAAAAAAAAAATTTTTTTGGGCCAGGCACGGCCGCAGGCACGCCGTGCCTGGCGTCGTGCCTGGAAGGCAGTGGCGTGCGAAGTATTTTTTGGCCAGGCACGGCCGTAGGCACGCCGTGCCTGGCATCGTGCCTGGCCGGCAGTGGCACGCAGGGTAAGTTCGTTGCACGCACGGTCGTGCGTGCCACCCAGGCACGCCGTGCGTGGGCCCCAGAACCCGAAAATCGAATTTTTTCGCTCCGTTCTTTTACGTTTGGACCCCCGATTGATTCCAAACCTTAGTATTTACTTAATAACCTCCTAAGGTGTGCAAAAACATTAGAAAATGTATCTCACATGGTGTATAAATGTAGGAACATTAAAGATTAATGGGAGATGTGCGAGAATCCTCATCGATACTGGGGCGCAACGATCATTTGTGAGTGAGGCATTCGCCGGGGGGTTCAACGTACCCCTGATACCGATGGCTCAAGCCCTATTGGTATCCACACCCCTAGGGGAAGACATCGAGAGAGACAGCCACTATCCATCGTGTGAGGTGGAAGTGGAGGGCCAAAACTTGTCGTGTGATTTCGTGCCGCTGAGTATGATTGAGTTCGATGCAATCCTGGGTATGGATTGGCTTGAGAAGCATCATGCTAGGGTCGATTGTTACACGAAAGTACTTGAACTCGAAGGCAATGAAGGGGTAACCTTACGCTTCAAGGGGGATAGGGCAAAATCCAATAGTTGCATCATATCCGCTGTGAGGGCTAAGAATATGATGAGGAAGGGGTGTCATGCATATCTAGCATATGTAGTGGACAAAACCAAAGAAGAGACGAGTATTGATGATGTTAGGGTAGTATGCAAGTATCCGGACGTCTTTCCAAAAGACTTACCGGGACTTCCACCCGATAGGGAGATTGAGTTCGTGATCGAGGTCGAGCCCGGCACCAAACCAATCTCCATACCGCCATACCGTATGGCACCCGCTGAACTTAACGAGTTAAAAACCCAATTGCAAGAGCTTTTGGATAACGGTTTCATCAGACCAAGCCACTCCCCATGGGGAGCACCGGTCCTTTTTGTGAAAAAGAAGGATGGAACACTTCGAATGTGCATTGACTATCGTCAACTGAACAAGGTCACAATCAAGAATAGGTATCCCTTGCCTAGGATTGATGACTTGTTTGATCAACTACGAGGAGCAACCGTGTTTTCAAAGATTGACTTGAGGTCGGGGTACCATCAATTGAAGATTAAGGAGGATGACATACCGAAGAGTGCTTTCCGCACGAGATATGGGCATTTTGAGTTCCTTGTTATGTCGTTTGGGTTAACAAACGCCCCGGCGGCATTCATGGACTTAATGAACCGAGTATTTCACAAATACTTGGACCGATTCGTGATTGTGTTCATTGATGACATCTTGATCTACTCAAAGAGTGAGGAAGAGCATGAGGAGCACTTGATACTTGTTCTTGAGACACTACGGGAGAAGCAACTCTATGCCAAATTTTCTAAATGTGAATTTTGGCTTAAGGAGATTGGCTTTCTCGGGCACGTGGTTTCTGGATCGGGAATTGCTGTTGATAACAAGAAGATAGAAGCCATTACCGAATGGGAGAGGCCAAAGAACGTTAAGGAAATTCGTAGTTTCCTTGGATTGGCAGGCTACTACAGGAAGTTCGTGGAGAAGTTCTCTGTTTTGGCATCACCATTGACGAAGCTCACTCGTAAAGGAGCTAAGTTTGTATGGGATGACAAATGTGAGAGGGGGTTCATGGAGCTAAAGAAACGGTTGACCGAGGCACCGGTACTTGCATTTACCAAACAGGGTGTGGGGTACGATGTCTATAGTGACGCGAGCATCCAAGGGTTTGGGTGTGTGCTGATGCAGGAAGGGAGGGTAATTGCCTATGCTTCACGACAGTTGAAGAAGCATGAGGTAAATTATCCTACCCATGATTTGGAGCTGGGAGCGGTGGTGTTTGCACTGAAGATTTGGAGACATTATCTCTACGGAGAGACATGTCACATATATACCGATCATAAGAGCTTGAAATACGTGTTTACTCAGAAAGAGCTAAACATGAGACAGAGACGGTGGATGGAGTTGATAAAAGACTACCATCTGGTGATAGAGTATCACCCAGGCAAGGCTAACGTGGTGGCAGATGCTTTGAGCCGGAAAAGCTCGTCTGGGCCATTGCTAGCTAATTTGAGGGCATTAAGAGCCCAACTGGAGGTATCCAGCGATGGTGCCTTATTGGCACGATTTGAGGTGAGACCTACTTTACTTGATGAGATCAAGAAGGGTCAGGAAACCGACGAAGAAATTATGAAGATCCGGGAACGCATGCAAGCGGGACCGGTGGAGGACTTCCGAGAAAGAGATGACGGTCTCTTATTATTTCGTGACCGAGTGTGTGTACCGGCAGATGACGAGCTCCGAAAGTCCATCTTAGAGGAAGCTCATTCATCGGCTTATGCCATGTACCCGGGGGGCACGAAGATGTACCGTGACCTGAAGGAGAGTTACTGGTGGTCAGGTATGAAGAGAGAAATAGCCGAATATATCAGTCGATGCCTTACTTGTCAACAAGTTAAGGCAGAGCATCAGCATCCAGCGGGCTTATTGCAACCACTTTCCATTCCTGAATGGAAGTGGGAACACGTGACTATGGATTTTGTGGTAGGGTTGCCACGGACGATCAGAAACTATGATGCAGTTTGGGTTGTTGTAGATAGGCTCACAAAGAGTGCACACTTCTTACCTATCAACACTACTTACCCACTCGAGAGGTTAGCCAAATTGTACACGGATGAGATCGTGAGGCTACATGGGGTTCCAGTGACCATTGTATCCGATAGAGACCCACGATTCACATCACGTTTTTGGCCGAAATTTCAGGAGTCTATGGGAACGAGGTTGAAGTTCAGTACTGCTTTCCACCCACAGACGGACGGGCAGTCTGAAAGAGTCATACAGATCTTAGAAGACATGCTGAGGGCTTGTGCATTAGAGTTCCAAGGAAGTTGGGACAACCACTTAGCACTTGTGGAGTTTGCCTATAACAACAGTTATCAGGCAAGCATCGGCATGCCTCCATACGAGGCATTGTATGGGAGGAGATGCCGTACACCGTTATGCTGGGATGAGGTTGGCATGGCCAAACTCGAGGGTACTGAGTTGGTTGAGGTCACCAAGTCAAAGGTGAAGTTGATTCGAGAGAGACTCAAGGCGGCTCAGGACAGGCAAAAGAGTTATGCGGATAAGCGTCGAAGGACCTTAGAGTTTAAGGTTGACGACGAGGTATTCTTGAAAGTTTCTCCTTGGAAAGGAATCATTCGATTTCAAACCCGAGGGAAGCTTAACCCACGGTACATAGGTCCATTCAGAATTATAGAGAGGATTGGGGCCGTTGCATATCGTCTACAGTTGACTCCTGAGTTAGAGAAGATACATAATGTGTTTCACGTATCCATGCTTAAGAAGTATGTGCATGATCCCTCTCACGTATTGGAGAAGCCACCTGTAGAGGTACGTGAGGATTTGAGCTACTCTGTTCAACCTATCAAGGTCACCGATAGAAAGGTGAAGAAACTGAGGAGCAAGGAAGTCCCAATGGTTAAAGTCCTGTGGAAGAGCGATCGGGTCGAAGAAGAGACATGGGAAACAGAGGCTTTGATGAGGAAGCAGTATGCTTTCCTATTCGAGTAGAGCTGTGAATTTCGGGGACGAAATTCCTGTTAAGGGGGGGGGTGAACTTGTGACACCGCACCCGAATGTCCTTGGAAATTTGATTTGAATATTCATAGCTTATGTATTGGATTTCCGATTCCCAAACATTTTGTAAAACGATCAATGTTCTACGTAGTGCATGGTTGAATATCGTATTGTTCAAACTCGTACATTAGTGTCGGGTTTCGCAAATACTTACTCGGGACTTATTAATAAATAAGAAAGCCGAACATTACCTAAATAGTGAAAGAATGATTAAAGGAGAATACAAATGTCTATAACCCCATCTTTGGCATTATTGAGCTAAATAATGGGAGTAGGATTTTCCTTCTAAAATATCCATCAAGTAAATTATTGGGATGAGCCTACACATATTGGAGATCAATAATGTGATTTAGGAAGTTGACTTGTTCTAAATAAATTAGGATGAGTACAAAAAGACATCTTTGACAAAGATAAAACAATAGGACCCATCTTCCCATTTTTGGAAGTATTGGTAGATATTTTGGACCCCAAATTTAATGGGATCAATTGGGAACCACTCCACATGATATTAGTACCTGCAAAACAAATAAAAATGGGTTAGAAGACCTACCTTGGCCGGCCATAATGGAGGGGAGCTGCACATGACTTGATAGGAATCAAAGCTTGGGCCACCATCCTTATTTTTGCACAAATTGGTGTGCTGTTTGTCTCCTCTCATTATAGAAGCTATACTCGACCAAACAACGTGAATAATATGTCCTTGGATAGCCTTTGAAGTCTATTATCTCAATTGAGTGGTCTTTGTTCGAGGAGAGAAGGCTTATCTTACAAAAATCGAGCTGGAACGAGCAGAGGTCTGTGAACTCGAGCTGTGAGAGTGCTGAGACTGTTTGGTCGATATCTCGAGTTTTACAAATCCAATTAAGGCGTGTGAGATACCCACAGAAAGCTCTCAAGACGAGGAATCCGTGAAGGTCTGGTTTGCAGGAATCGGAGTTGTGGAAGGCTTCCAAATCGTCCGAGCAAAACACAACCTCGCAGGAGAGGATTTAATCTTCTAAAAGTGAGTTTTAACCCCAAAACTTTACTTTTCATTTTCCAAATGATATGAACGATTGGTGGGACTATCATACACTAATCCAAGTGTATAATATGTCCTTATAAAGTTATTTTATTGATGTAAAGGTTAGATACTAACCTAGAACAAATCTTGGAAAAACTAGGAAACGAGTTGACCGGGAAACACCCGTTCTAGGGGCTGTTTTCGTATCAACGATTAAGGGTTGAAATAGCACTTTGAGGAGGCTGTTTAACACTCATATTTGAGCAAGGAATCAGTTCCAAATCCACCTTGACCAAAGCTTTGACCATTGGACCAAGAAGGGAAAGTTTAAAGCTCAATTGAGGTGAGGATTGACATCTAATTGCTTACAACTTGTAGGTTAAGCATGAGATTACCTAAATGCTTAAATCATTATTTTTCATGAATTATGATGGTTATATATTGATGAAATATTGATATAGTTGCCAAAGAATGAAATTTGAAATGATTTGAGAATGTATGAACATTTTGAGATTTAATGAGTATAAATGAACTATTTTTGTGAAATAGACATTTTGCTCATGTATGAATTATGTGGTTACATAAATGAATATTTGTGTATTGAGATTGAATACTTAAGTTGCTGCTACATAATTATAATTATGTAGAGAATTACAAATAATGAGGATAATGGTGTGATAACAATAATCTTAATAGTATTGAAATACTAGTTAGTGATTATTGGGACTTGTTGATTAAATTGATCCTAGGGATTGGATTGTATGAAAGATACTTGAATGTAGTTCAAGTGTATCTAATAACTTAGTAAGGAACTAAGGTTAAGTTATGGGAAGTCTTTGAGGATGACCCATGGTAGTTTAATGATATGTCAATTCTAGGCATAGGGTTGCTTGAGAGTTGGACCTTAATGCATGGTGATGTGATAGAGCCGAGCTCTAGAATGCATGTAAGGTGTAGACTTGGAGTCTATGTATTGTATAGCTAGAGCCGAGCTCTAGGACTTGCGTGGTGATGTGATAGAGCCGAGCTCTAGAACGCAAGGTAGGGAAATTGACCCGAGGTACATGAATTGTATGGTGATGTGGTAGAGCCGAGCTCTAGAATACAATGTCATGTACTAGGGTTGGACTCTAGGAGTTGTCGTGGCTTATAGCCACGGGGTTGGGAATGGTGACTTCCAAATGAAAACGGGCCCACGGGCCGACTACTTGACTTTTATATAAAGTAAGTATATTTTTAAACGGGGTAACTTAGGGTTACAATCATAATGTACTATCACCCTACTTGAGGGTCTTGTGTTTGAAATACTTGTTGTATATCTATTAGATGCCTGCCACACCAGTACTTTATAGCCGTATAGAGTACTGACCCCTTCGGGGGCGTCCCACCACCATTTCAGGTTGAGGCTAGAGCTTGCTTCCTGTGCTCGTTGATCGAGTGATTCCTTGGAGAGAAGACTTGGTTCGTGCTTCCTCCATTCTGTTTTTAAATAATATTAAACTTGCTCATGGATATTTTACTTTAGAGCCTGCGTGCTCATGTTTGCCCTGTGTGGCCCTTTTGTTTTAAACAATGTTTTCCGCTGCGTATTCAATTGTTTATTATGTATGTTTATGGATGACTTATGTGTGAATGATATTCATGACGCCTTGTATAATATGAATGTGTTGGACTGCGGTTGACTATTCGTATTGTACGGCGGGTTGTTGACGTGTCCGGGGAGGTCCGGGGCGTGACATAATAGGCTAGGACATATGAGCAATAAGGGTTTAGATGTCATGCGTAGGGCTGGTTATTTTGGTAAGGACTCTGTGACTTCTGTGCCTTTCTGTGAATCATGTGTGTTAGGCAAGCAGCATAGAGTCAGCTTTCCTCCTTCCTCTTACCCTAATCTGTCTAAGTGTTCGTCTGTGCTTGAATATGTTCATGCCGATGTTTGGGGTCCTGCCAGTGTTCCTACCCACGGGGGTAGGAAATATTTCCTTTCTATTATTGATGACTTTTCTAGGAAGGTGTGGGTTTGCCTTTTAGAACACAAGTCTGATGTGTTTGTAAGGTTTAGGGAGTGGAAAACCCTAGTTGAAAACCAAACTGGCAGGAAGGTTAAGACCCTTAGGACCGATAATGGGTTAGAGTTCTGTAATAAGGAGATGGATAAGCTGTGTGTGGATTGTGGGATAAAAAGGCACAAAACTGTGCCTTATACTCCCCAACAGAATGGGATAGCAGAGAGAATGAATAGGTCTCTGTTGGATAAGGTTAGAAGCATGTTAGCTACCTCTGGTCTGTCTAAGAAATTCTGGGGTGAAGCAGTCACTACTGCTGCCTATTTGGTTAATAGGTCCCCGTCTGTCCCTCTTGGTGGTAAGTGTCCTGAAACCGTCTTTACCGGTAAGCCTCTTGATCTGTCTAACCTTCGGGTGTTTGGTTGTGCAGCGTATGCACATCAACAGGGTGACAAGTTGGATCCTAGGTCTAAGAAATGTGTCTTCCTAGGTTATCCAGAGGGGGTAAAGGGTTACAGGTTATGGGATAGGAACCAGGTAGGCTTTAAAGTGGTCCTTAGCAGAAATGTGGTGTTTAATGAAACTGATTTTCCTTGCTTGACCGAGTCTGTTTCTAATCCTGAGTCTAGGTCTGATAGTACTCCTAGTGAGGTGGAGTCTGTCCCTGTTGCTGCTAGTCCTTTGTCTGTTGATCCTGCTATTACTGATGATATTGTTATGCATGATTCTGATTCCTCTGAGCATGATAGTCCCACCACCTCGAGTGAGGTGGAGCATTTGCATGATACTGAGCATGATTTGCATGATATGGGTGCTGAATCTGATTTTCATGATAACAATAATTTGCATGAGTTGCATGTGGAGCCTAGTAGTGATAATTTGCATGATTATCAACTTGCTAGAGATAGGAGTAGAAGGGCTATCAGGAGAACTGCTGATAGTATGCCTGATTATGCTTTCATTGTGCATGATACTTCTATGTTTGCATTTTCTGTGTTTGAATCCCTAGAGCTGAATGAACCCAAGACCTACCGTGAAGCCTTAGGTTCCAAAGAGTCTCAGAAATGGATTAGTGCCATGAAAAGTGAGATGGACTCTTTGCGAGTGAACCAGACTTGGACCCTTGTACCTAGATCCCCCAACTGTTCGGTAGTTGAGTGTAAGTGGTTGTTTAAGGTTAAGGAAGAACCTAGTGATGTTAGGTTTAAGGCTAGGTTGGTTGCGAAAGGGTTTACTCAAAAAGAGGGGGTAGATTATGCTGAAATCTTTGCTCCTGTTGTTAAATTCACCACTATTCGTATGATGCTTGCTTTAGTTGCTCACCATGACTGGGAAATGAAACAGATGGACGTAACTACTGCATTTTTGCATGGTGAATTGGATAAAACAATTTATATGACCCAGCCTGAGGGCTTTGTGGATCCCAAGAGAAGTGAGCATGTCTGTTTGCTTAGGAAGGCATTGTATGGCCTGAAGCAATCCCCTAGGCAGTGGAACATCAAATTTGATAAATGCATGATATCTTTGAAGTTCCAAAAATCTGTTTGTGATCATTGCCTGTATTTCAAAAATACTTCTTATGTGCCTGTATTTTTGTTACTCTATGTGGATGACATGCTGATAATTAGTCATTCTCTGAATGCTATTAAAGATGTGCAAAAATGTCTTTGCGCGAATTTTGCCATGAAAGACCTAGGTGATGCCAAGAGGATCCTAGGCATAAACATTGTTAGGGATAGGAGTAAGCGTACTCTTACTTTGAATCAGATTTCTTACATAGAAAAAGTTTTGAGTAAATTTAATATGTTATCTGCTTCTCCTGTTAATGTCCCTATGGCATCTCACTTTGTGTTAAGTAAGGACCAGTCTCCCAAGACTGCTCCTGAAATTGAGAAAATGAAATCTGTGCCTTATTCCAGCGCAATAGGGTCGGTGATGTATCTTATGGTTAGCACTAGACCTGATATTGCATATGCGGTTAGTTGCTTGAGTAGATATATGTCCAACCCTGGTTTGCCCCATTGGAATGCTCTTAAGTGGTTGCTTAGATATCTGATTTCTACTGTGAAGCATGGATTAATTTTCTCTAAATGTGCTAGTGGTATTGAATTGATTGGTTATGTTGATTCTAACTATGCAAATGATAGAGATAACAGGAAGTCGACCACTTCTTATGTTTTTACTTTGTGTGGCTCTTGCATTAGTTGGAAGTCTCAACTACAGCCTATTGTGGCCCTTTCTACCACTGAGTCCGAGTATGTTGCAGCCACAGAAGCGTTTAAGGAAGCCATCTGGCTCAAACGCCTTGTCTCCGAAATTGGGTTTCTCAAAAAGGGAGTTACCATTTTCTCGGATAGCCAATCGGCTATCCAACTTTGCAAAAATCCTGTATTTCATGATAGAACTAAGCATATTGATGTTAGGTTCCATTTCATACGTGATATTGTTGATGCAGGTGGAGTCAAGCTGTGCAAGATCCCGTCGGAGTTTAACCCCGCGGATATGGGTACCAAGTGTCTTTCTGCTGAGAAGCACTTGTCCTGTAAACGCGTGTTAAACTTTGATTGTGGATAACTGTGGGTTGCCTAATAAAGTGTTTGCCCGTTGTGTCTGTTGATATTCCGGGTGACCCGGCGATGATGAGTCTTATCACAACTTTGTATTGTTACTCTACACCACCTAGGACCAATAAGGTGGAAAATGTTGGAGGTATTGGTCCTACCAAGGCCTCCCTTCCACTTTATTTGTTGAGGCTTGCACACTCTATTTTACGCTCTCTTGGATATCTTTACTGTGGTATATATCCTGATCAAATATATACCTATTTTGAGTGGTTGACTTACCCACTTGGCTGGCCCCTTTGTGTTCTGTCCGCTGCATCCATCTTTGTCTTGGCCTATACATGTGACACTCCTTTGTCTAAGTTGCATGTGAGTGTTTTTTGTCAAACCTCACCCGTGACACACTTTGGCAGCCTATTTGTATCCTCTGCTTCTTCCCTTGTTGAGCAGCCTGCGCAGAAAGCATTCCAGAGAGAGCAGTGCTCCCTTCTTCTTCCTTTCCTTTGTGTGAGAGTGTAGAGAGGTCCTTTGTGGAGAGTAGAGAGTTGTGTGCTATAGCCTCCTCTTAGTGTGGTGTGTGAGAGTGTGTGTTGAAAGACCTGAGCCGGAGACGGAAAATATCCTTACAACTACAATAAAAACTGTTTACAAAAATATGACTACTGACTAGAATAATAATGAAGGACTACTCACTAAAATAAAAACTATTTACAAATCTGTTTTCTTCCTCTACAAAACATGTGCAAACCAAAAACAATTTACGAGATTGACTTATGCTATCTTATTTGAAATAATTACATAAATATGACCAAAATGAAGATGATTTACAAAAATATGACTAGTTACTACTTACTAGAGTAGTAATGAAATCATAGTAATTCATATTCAAGTTTTGAACTTAAGTTACCACAACACTGTGTTGTAGTAATGAAATCATATTTATGTAAATACGGAGTATGTTTTATTTTAGTAATATTCTTGTAAAAAACTCATCTTATTTCATCCCTGTTAGTTTTTAAATTAGTGTTAATAATTAAGATTTTATATTTAAAGTGTTTTTGTCACTTTGATTTGAATCTCCCAACTATCGTGTCAGTGATATTTTTGATACTCAACTTTCATTTTTTTTAGTTTTAGTCCTTTGATTATTGTACAAAAGACACTTTTAATCCTTCACTTCAAAGTTCTCCATATTTAATCTCCTGAGTATTATAAAATTGACACTTCTAATCTTTTCACTGATTTTGTCATAATAAGTGAATGATTAAAAATGTTACTATTATGATAATTGAAGGATCAACCGTCAATTTTTTGTGTAATGGTAAAAAAAGTGGAAAAATTCAAATACAAAAAATGTCACTGATCCAATAGTTGGAGGACTAAAGTGACAAAAATTGTATTGAAAAACCAGACTTAAATTTCTATGCAATTGGAAGAATCAGATTCGAAAATCAACTTATACTCAAATTCGAGAACGCAAAGAACTTGCTTTGACCAAGACAAGTATTCTGAAAATCTTCATGGGACCAGAAGTATATTTATTTAAATACAGACTTCTTTCATAAGAATTCTTGGTCCAATAGATGTACATAAAAATTACCTGAATGTCTAATAACAAAACTCTGTAACAATAATAAACTTGACCTCTGGGTAATCCAACAAAGATAAAATCGCCAGAGAAAAATGAGCATCATTAATGGTGCAAGTTTGATAGTCTCAAGAAAGAAAAAAGATGGATCTAAAAATAAATAAATTAAAGAGAGGATAAGATTTAGAGGCCCAAGACATGGAGCATAATGGCATTCTGGGCATGCATCCTGTTTTCAGCTTGGGTGAACACAATTGAGTTTGCTGCTTCTACAACCCCATCAGTCACCTCCACCCCTCTTTCTGCTGGTAAACAATGCATGAAATACGCTTTCGGGCCCGCTAATTTCATCATCTTTTCATCTACCTGTTCATAGTTATCAAATCATCAGTGCACCACATCCATGTTTCATATGACCAAATGAAGACTGAAG